AAAGTTCAAAAGGAAGTAAAAATGCGAATGGACGAACTCCAAGAGAACACGTTCCTTAGCAATGTCATAGTTTTTATGCTAAATTTATTTGACATTTTACACATTTAGGAAAGATTCTCGAACTATTGTTGCAATTTCAGTGGTAGAAAAATAGGAGTTTAATTCGGGAAAGGAGCCCATGGCCTTGCGGGATAGGGGATATTCAAGTGAATGAGCCACTTAAAGTTCTTGGGGCCCCAGGGATGAGATGGGATCTTTGGGGGATGGGTGTGAGCAATTCTTGTTCTCCCTTATGTTTCCCCTCTCCTGGGCCTGGGAAATCGGTCGAGGACTTGTCAACGGGTCGTCGAGGATTCTTGCCGGTTCGGTCATGCTCCCGCGCGTGGACGTTCACTCTCGCTGTCTTCTCCGCGTCTACATTCACTCTTAACACCGTTCTAAAACAGTACAGAGCCACGGTCGAGGATTTCCTTCACCGCTATTCACCCTCCCTGGGCTTAGCCCTACTATCAAGTACCGTTGGCCCTCTTTTGAATCCCCCCTCCCTGAGGCCGTGAACACCTCGGAAAATGATTAGGGGCATTTATAGAGAACTAACCGAACAACTCACCATCGATCATGGTGATAAAGCTCTCAACTGCTCCTGGACGTGCTCCAATGAAGAAATGTTGCAACTACCGCTTCATCTTGTTCAGCTCTTTGGTAACTGCCGACTACATGTCCAGTCCCTTGAAAAAGCCCTTCAAAAAGTTGAAAAAGAGCGATTAAGGCCGACAGTTGACTAGTAAACATCTGTTCAGACACCATCGAAGCCACTCATTGACGTTGTTTGACTTCACCTCATTCATTTTTAACGGCTGCACATTTTCCACCAACAACAACCAGGGGCAGCACTCTCAGGCCCCACCTCTTTCTTCTCACATGAACGGCGTCATTTTGTCAACAATTCCTATGCAAGGAGTCGGGGGGGGGGGAAGGCGTGCAACTGTACGCCACTCTGTTCTATTTCTATTTCGTTGCTCGAGCGGTGGTTCCATTCAAATGGACAACAATTATTCAAATCCCTCCGAACTCTCGAAACTACTACGCTACGGCATTTATTGCGATCATTCCCGATTGTCGGACTACTATACAGTCACCGGCGACATTTCCACCGGTACCATCGAGCGCTTCTTCACACCCCGCCATTTCCATTTTGCTCCCGAATTTGATTCGTAAGCCATTTTTGGTCGTTAGACACTGTTGTCGTCGCTGTCACAATAATATTCCATTCTACTCGTTCCATTTGTAAAGGCGACCGGTTCTTAGTATCGAGTTTTCTTAAGAAAACTATATATGACTCAAGCCCTAGTTAACATTCCTAAGCCATTCATAAATGTCATCCGGGCGCGATCCCATCTGTGTTACACTGGTCTCCTCAGAACCCTCAATGCCAGTGCACTCTCCCAAAGACCCTGAACGCAGACACTGCCCACACTGTCCAGGTCCAAGGCGGCTGGCCACTCCGGCAGCAGAGAACAAGGCACTTACCATCAGTCCATTCATTTGCCTCGCCTACCCCAAGTTCATCTCTTTTATTGCTATGTTTACCCGGCGTGTGCGGCGCTCGCTACTATTATGATTTTCCCGTAATAATAGGGCCGAGCTCGAGGGTAGAATCGAGGGACAACCTTGATCTGCGACCCTTGTCGGGGCGCTCTTCCGGGAGTCACTATTCACCCTGGTCGGTCGGACGGGTTGTCGCCGCCAAACGGCTGGACCTCATCGCCGCAGTGACGCGTAATACGTTCCCGAATCTGCCATCCGTGAACTGGCTGATCCAGTCTGATCCCGGTCAAGGATAAACGGAGGAGGTTTACCTACTTTCTTCTCAACAACTGTTGTTTCTTTGCACGTGACGTACGGCCGCCGTTATCTATGCGTTCACTTACTGTTTACCATAGTACAGTACCCTTTTGCTCAGGCAATAAAATATCTTTCTCTTTCTCGAGCTTACAATTTCCTCTGTAAGTGTCAACCAGTACGAAATCGTTGGCATATCATTACCATGCCTACGTAGCATGTAAATTTGGCATTGTGCCAAGCCAAGAGGGGGCGTGGCCGTCAGCCACATTCAACAACAATCGCCTCGCGTGCTAGTAAACAGCGCGGACGTTGCACTCACAACGTCCACCATCTGTTTCTGTCAATCTCACGTCTGATCTACGTCCACCACGGCGCTTTGTCTGCCATCCGTCTCTGTTCGTTCAGGGGTTCTGGGTGCAGGCCAAGTGGGGTCAGGGAGTTTTTTGGCATCATCTGTGGTCCCCAAAGGAGCTCACGCACTCATACGTGCTGCATGAGTGGCTGCATGGCATATGAGCACCCTTTCATCACGAAAACAACCATCACAACCAAAACAACCCGTCCCGTCTGCTACGAGGCTCTAGGTAACTCGTGCTTTCTCTCGGATCGCTTCCTTCATTCACCCTCCTCGATGATACTCTTGCTTCTCCCGCGTGTGTGCTGTTTTACACCTCCCTTTCTGGTCGATGGCCTCCTATCGCTTTCTCTCATCTCTTAATCTTCCGCCATCGATTTCAGCTCACTCATTTGTTGTGCTCGATGAGTGCTAATGAGAATTCGAAGCTCTCATTGCCGTTTTTAGCCGTTCTGCAAGTTCTAAGAAGCCTATGTTTAGATATGGATAAGTTACGCGCGAAGATGCACATTAAAAACGAGCTAGGACGGGCGCTGATCGCCGAGTTCATGGGCACAGCCCTACTTTTGGTAAGCCTCTATTTTACCGTAATTCTCTAACTGTAATTGGCCAACTGTTGGCTAGGAAAAGCTGCTGAGCTTTTGTTATGGTCCAATTCACATCAGTAGTGAAAAGCAGTGGCTGTTTACTCGCGACACAGTGGGGCAATGATATGCCGTTTAATGCCTTTCCGTCCGTCCGTCCCGGCAGCGAAAAATTCACGAGCCATCTGCAAGGGACGTCGACCGCCGACAGGCCGCAGACCAGCGAGCGAGCACTGATGGAAACGACAAGTGTCGCGTATATATGCATTATGCTGAGCTTCGTGCTCTTCTCGTAGTGTCCCCGGTTGGCGTTTCAACGGCGACAAATGGGCCGCTATTATCTGGCCGGTCGAGTCCCATGGGAATATGAATGGCACGGGTAGCTCATAGAGCTCAAGGGACATCTCACTCGGCCAAAACAGCAAACCGCTTTCGAAACGAGGTGGAGGAAAAGTGGAGGAAAACAGACTTATCCATACGCTTCCCCGCAGTTCTTGTAAGAGTTTTCCAGGAAAGCGGTTATTTTTATGTTCGGGAAAAAGAATATTCCATAATTTTGCAGCGGATTATTCTGGGGTTCGGGAGCTAATCTGCCAAATGGGTAAGTCAAACTATAAATGCCTTTTTCAGCTGATCGGTAACTGTGTGGTCGCTCAAAGTATATTGCCACGTCCAAGATTGAACGAAATGATCGGTGTGAACGTCGGTTTCGGTTTGGCTATCGCATTCGGTGTCGCCATATCGGCAAAGATCTCAGGTGAGTAGCGATTTCACTGCCATGCTCTCCCCGAGCAATCCCATAGGCCTACAATGACTTTCCTCTCCCCCCTACCCCACCTCCGCCATTTTCTTCCATTAGACAGAAAGGGGAACAATAGGGTAATCACTGCGGATCCGCACTCACAGATTTAGTGGACGGGAAAGACCGTAAACGGAGACGGGGTTAGGAGATGACTGTGTGTGTGACCTTCACCGTGAGAGAAACTGAATAGGGTCGATTCAGCGCTTGCTGAACAATAGGGAATCGATGAGCAAAATGGCCACAGTTGTTTGTAAAGTTCAGCCCTTACCAAATCGGAATGTAGAAAGCTATTATACGGTATGGGAACACTGAAAGATAATGTATTTGGGAAACTGACCCTTCAGTGGAATTGGGAAACTGTTCCTTTCGTGGGTCTTTGTAATGGAAATAAACTAATCTGCATCGAAGTTTTGTTAGGCACGATGAAAAGCTTTCTTCGCGAATTCTAAGCCAGATGAGCAGCAGTTGACCATGCGGTAGCTAATAAGCAAGTTTGGGACTATAACTGGAGATGGGTGGAGGGAAGCGTTTTAGTCCAAAAGTGGGAATAGGAGAAATTTGCGACCAGCTCCGAACTCCATCGCATGGCGAGTGAGTGATCTAGGGTCTCGAGCGTTCATACAGTCTGAAAGCATACTCTTCCTCTGAACTGACTAGTTCTGATGTTTCCGTACAGGTCCTTGAAGAGCACCCCTCCCCTTTTACTTCTAGGATCCGCTTCGAAGGTCGCCCAGTTCGTTTGAAGAAGCACCTTCATGGTGAGTTGGCGAACCTGGTTCGCCAGAGTGAAGATAGTGTAATGACCTCGGGGAACTCAAAGGGTTCATAAACCGGCGAAGGCGAGGTGATTACTAGCCCAAAGTGAAATTAGGGTAGAAACTCGACCTACACTTTCGAACTTCTAGATGGGAATGACCAATCTAGAATCCTTCGAAGTTTATCCAGGTCCTAGAAAAGACCCTTCGTTGGTTTTGTGAAACCAGTTTGCAGATTTAAAGACATTGGTAATGACCTTGGGGAACTCAAAAAGGTTCAAAACACGGGGAAGGGGGGTATAATACTAGCCCAATGTGAAAGGTGAAAACTTGACCTACAGTTTTGAACTTCTAGATAAGAATGCCTAATCCAAGATCCTTCGAGGTTTATCCAGGTCTTAAAAACACCCTCTTGTAGGTTGGCGAACCCAGTTTGCAGATTTGAGGGCATTGGTAATGACCTTTGGGAACTCAATGGGACTATAAAGACGGGGGGGGGGCTACTGCTAGCCCAAAGAGAAAGTAGGGTGAAAATTTGACCTACGGTTCTGGCCTCACAAAGAGGAAATGAACTAATCTAGGATTACAGGTTTGCAAGGCCCTGAGTTGCAAACCCAGCTGGAGGATTTGAAGGAGCAAAAGAAATTTACCTGGGTACAAAATCTAGAATCCCGAAATGTTTATCGATTTTGAAACACGAGGAATGTGATTTTCCTTGAGAGCACTTTAACACCCTTTCATTGGCTTCCATAGGGTGAATGTTGTCGGCGATTAACGTCGCTGTTGCGGCGTTTATTCGTCAAGGTCGTCAGCACATTAAAGGCTTTGCAGGAGGTCATATCAATCCGGCTGTGTCGCTGATGTTCCTCAGCTTCCGCCAGCTGGCGCCTGCTCGCTTCATCCTCTACACAATTGTGCAGACGCTTGGCGCTCTCGTCGGCTCCGCCCTGGCATATGCTCTCTATCATGGTGAGTCAGAGGAACTGCGCTAGCTCATCTTCCACTTGAAAGAGCTCACGGTTTGCACGTTTCATTACTTCTTTCAGAGGCCATCAACAGTTTCGACGGAGGTATTCGAGCGGTGATTGGACCAAAGGCTACCGCCGGCATCTTCGCCTCCTATCCGGCCAATCATCTCGGTCTTTTCGGAGGCCTCATTGATCAGGTTCGCATGTTGCCTTGCCCCACGAGGAGGTTGTTTATAGTGACTGGTGCGCAACTGCGTGCAACGATCTCATCTCATTAGTGACCCGACCTCCCCTCGCCAATCGCCGTCACGCCCGTTGCCCGCTGGGTGAACGAAATTACCCGTTTCCGGGGGTGCAGACGCGATCGGGAGCGCTGTCAGGAGTGACATATTCCATTAATGACTTTGAAGCCATTGTAACCAAAGAATCTGCAGTAGAGTGACCAACTCGCCAAAGAACTGGTGTCCACTACTCTCGAAGGGCAGCTCTAAAAAATGCATGCAAAATTGTTGGCCCTTGGTCTTCCCATTCGTTATCTCTGTTTTCGAGCTACTCGATCTGGGGCTTTTCTACCCTGCGGGAAAACACTCGGAAATGAGGGTTGGCTCTCAGATTTCTGGTCTGTTGTTTGTTGTCAACACAACCGACACTAATTACCGGTGAAGGCATGAATTGTCGGTTACGATGTCTCCCTGGCAACCCGCGATCGGAGTCACCTCTTGCTGACTAACCGCAGGGGATTAGGTACAAATAATCCTAATGGGGTAACGAACAGGGATAGCAGGGTATTATCACGCGTCATGGAAACACCCAAATGGGAGAACCCTAATGATGTCCACCTGAGCAAGACATCCGAAGAGTTGATTTGTTTTGTTTTCAAGTTGTTTACTCAGAATTGATACTTCAGATTATCGCCACGGCTGTGTTCTGCTTCCTGATCGCTCACATCACCGACAAGAGAAACTCGTACCCACAATGGCTTCAACCTCTCCTTGTGAGTGTCGAACAGCTCGCACTCGCGTAACAGAGCTCATCTAATCCCTTCAGATCGGACTCTCGTTCGTGGCTGTCGGAGCTGCTTTCGGTTTCAACTGCGGATATCCCTGTAATCCTGCCAGAGACTTCGGACCACGTCTTTTCACTTTCATCATTGGATACGGCGGAGATGTTTTCTCGTGAGTTCATGGAGAAATATTTCGAAAAGTTTAATCAACCGAAGTAGGCTCAGCTCAGCCTCTTGGGATAAAGCTCAAATCTCGGACTTTTGCCGGCGATAGCGGATCGTCCACCTCCGAGGTCAAATCACGTACTCATTTGGTTCCAGGGACAAACATCCGTTGGAACGAGTACCAGCGAGGTGTGGGGGGGCGTACTTGTAGTATTTGGGGTGGTCTATTTTGTACTTGTGGAAGATGACGGTATCATGGTTCCTATTCCATTTAATATTTATGGATGATGAGCGGAGGGTCGTGGTTGCAAAAAATCATACCCTCCTCTCCACATTTTAACCCCCTGCTCGACGGCCGTTTTTGGATAATATTGGGTGAGTTTAGAGAGTGGAGGGTGATCTCAGAATCAGATCGTGTGGAAGTAGCCATGGGGATGGGGGGAGGAGGTCGTATGGGGGGACCCTCCTGGGAAGGGAACTCCTGAATTTTTTGAAAAAAATAACAGCGTTGCGGTTGATCTGGTGGGGACAGCATTTCAGGAGTATTATACAATGATGTAGGCAGGATGAAAAGCTAACAATCTTTCAACAGTCTAGAATGGGTCGAAGATGGGTTGGACCTCGAACAAGGACTTAGTCCTTCATTTCACTGCTTTCGAAATGGGTGGACTTCCACAAACTATCCTAGAAATTAGCCTCACAAGTCATCCAGTTAGAGGAAGAGGAGAGCGCTAGTGGTTGATTGAGGGAATGTCACATGACGATGATTACCTACTGAGGATATGGTAGGGCACGGAATATAAGCACATTGACGAGTTTGACGGATGAACATTGTCTCGAATTCCTTGTGATAAAATTGTACTCGTTCTGAACAGTGAGTGTAATGTGCGCAGCTACCTAATCGTATTCAATTGAAGGAATTGCCTGAGTAAACCTCTGGTGGAGGCATACAGAAGGATACAAAACTGAAACGCATGGCGACTAAATGCTTTTTTGGGATGCGCGTGACATCACATCTTTCCTTCAGGTGTTTAGTAGCATTTGTTTAATGTGATATGGATTTGCAATGACTATAGCGGAGAACAGTGTAAAAATTAATTGTATACTGCTCGCAGAAGTTTGGTTCATTGAACGTGTTGGGAGAGTGCAAGTGGTCTGGACGGCGTACGGTCTAAGACAGTGCGCGTGACGAGCACTGCCGCTTCTCATTCCACTGCTCTCGCCCGCCCCCTCCCCCCCCCCACCAAAATAATCGCCTTCTTGGTGCTAATAAGTACTGATCATCTTTCTAAAAAAACAATTTTTGTACTTCCCCGAATTCGCCCGACTTCGCTCCCCTTAAGAAGCGGCAGGGAATGATTCTTTTTGCCTAATCGCGGAATGTGCTTTTGAAAACTATGAATGGTTACGATGATTTGGTGCTAGCCAAATATGACAGCAGAGGTGCCTGCGGTGCAGCAGTAGGGAGAAAACCTGAATAGATTGAAAAAATCGGAAATTGGGCGCTAATGTAACGATAGCACGAACTTCAATAACAGCAAGGGGTTCCGGAGGAGGCGGGGCTCGGATTAGGTTTGGATCCTAACTGCCTTGCAACTACCGTACCGTATCGCGGAGTTTCATATCTCACTCTCTTCGCTGCCAGGCTATCGCTTCCTTGCGCATCTTCTCTGTTGTTTACTCACCTTTCCTGGTCACTGTCTTTAAAAGGCGCAGATCATTTGCAGTAGGGGAGGGCGAACAGTAGTTTTAATAAGCCCTCAGCTGTAGATGGGACCAACTCCACGCCGTTCCCCTTGAAACTCTGGTGACGCTTCTACTATGCAATAATTGCGGTCAGGTGTGGTTCTGAATAGCCGTGCTAGACGTGTGCTACCTCTGATTCGCTAACTGCTCATTTATTCATTCACTTTTGCAAGAACCTCGACACCACTGAGACGAAATGCGTAGTGTTGCGAAAACTAAGAGGGCTGGAGTAATACTATGAGGCCATTGCGTGTTTGACGATCGTTTCGTGCGCTGTTTCGGCGGATGTGGAAACGACTTTCATCGGGAAGCATTTCTCATGCAGTCCGCGGCTGGTCAAACTACTTCGCTCGTGCAGCAAGGCTTACCGATAGGGAGGGGTTGAACTGAACAATGGCGAATTCGATAGTTGCTCTTGGGGACATTTTAACGCGTCAAGGGTAGAGGAGCGGGTCGTTTGCCCTGGATCCACCCCGTACTAATTGTTGATTGCACTCGCGTTAATTCCCTTCGGAATAGGTCGCGCATGTAACGTTTCGTTGAGATTTGCGCAGCCAAGCGAATGTCTCTGGCCCGAAACAGAGGCGAAGATTTGAAACTTCAGAAGGACTAAGGTTGGGGGGGGGGCGGCCTGTGGAACTCATGGGTTATCCACTGGCTACGGATACTCCTAGAGGCGGCAACATCCTCTGTGTAGTAAGCACTTGGTGAATCAAATACCTCGTGCAGTTCATGGCCAGTTTTCTGGTGTTCCATGCCTCCTGTGGCCTCACTTGACAGACGATTCTCTGCCCGATCAGAGACGATCTCTCGCGCGGACATTCACACTCGCCATGCCGTGTCGTCTGTGCTCTCCGCGCGGATACGTTCACTCTCGGCACTACTCTCGCATGGTAGAGAGCCATGGTCGAGGATTTCCTCGACCGTTATTCACCCTGCTTGAGGCTGAGAACGAAGGAGAGGGGGAAAAAAAAAAAAAGAGATACAGAGTCTGCTAGAGACGGGAAATACCCACATGCCCCAAGGATCAGAGGACGCCACGTACTGCGATTTATTGGAAATGGGCAGCCGTTTGCAGCGATAAACGAGCGCATGGCTACTATTGCCATGCATCAATATGACAGCACCCACCCGCCCTGACTTGGGTCCCTACACCTAACCCATGGAGACTTTCTCGTAAAACCTCATCGCGACCCGTGCTTTCAACCTCAAAAATGAGGCTTTTGGCGCAAAGTTTGAACAATTCCCGAGGATCTCAATGCGACTCCGTGCCTTTCAGCAGTAAAAACTGTAGGGTTTGGCGAAAGTGTTGAACAATTCCGAGGAGCTCTCACAGCTTGAATGTTTTTGGTTTCTGAAAAGCATTTTCTTGTTCTTATCCAATCACTCGTGAATCCTGTGAGAATATAAGTTTTTTTCCTTGAAATGATGAAGCTATGCAACATTGCGTCATTGACTTGAGCCGTCAATAGATTCGAGCTTCCGACGTCTTTATACAATAAAAGTGTGAAAAGATGGTATGCCGAAAATTATCGCACGATTCACAAATACGCCCGAAACCTTCCGTCGCCTGAGCGTACCGAAGAAGTTCTTATCGCCAAGCACTACTTAAGAAGGTCAGGCTGCAAATCTCCGCTTGAATCCGTGCATGTTGCGTGAAATATGATGAGCTTGCTTTTCATCACTTCGCGCCGGGGCGTGGGTGCAGTCGTGCCTGAACGGCATGACGCTCGTCCCCGTTGGGCCGCAATCGCGCGCTATAACCTTCGATAATTACCTGTTTTTGGTACCCCTCTTACTTTTTTTCGATTTTTTTTACACCGTGTTGCTTTTATTCGTGTGTTATCTGCTCATACTCATTCTTTTATGTCTCGTTTCATATTTTTCAGTTGTTCCGTGGACGAGCGACTTCGTAGAACCCCGTCGTACTACCCCGGTGAAAGTGGCTATACCGGGTGAGTTCATCATAAGCAATTTTGTTTATTCGAGTGGACTCTATAATTTTAGAAGTTGCTTTTTCTTCGATACGATTTCCTGCTGGTGTGCGAAAGGCCGCCGGATCTTGGTAATTTAATTATTCGCACACCAGCAGGAAATCGTATCGAAGAGAAAGCAACTACTGGAAACACATACAGTTCACTCGAATAAACAAAATTGCTCATGATGAACTCACCGGGTCTTGAAGCCACTTCACACGGGTTTACGACGTCGCTCGTCCGCGGAACAACTGAAAAGTATTCATCAAGACATAAAAGAATAAGTATGAACAGAAAACACACGAATAAAAGCAGACTGCGCAAAAAAAACATCGAAAAAGACAAGAAATACACCAAAACCAAGGATTATCGATCGGAGCGCGCCATCTGCGCCCAACGTACGCGTCATGCGCCAGAGCGCGTATTGACGCTCTTCACACTGTCGGTGCGGTCGGCGCCGTCGGCACCGACCGCACCGATGCGAACTATGAAAGCAGCCTAAGAAACTTTTCTTGAGTGGACCTCAAAACACTTGAAATCTTTTTGAGTCCAAGGTTTTCAGAAAAAAAACTTCTCGTTGTCTCGTTGTGAACGTGATCCCTTAAAGGAAGCTTTCCAGAATGTATGAAGTGAGCTGGGCGCCAACAACCTGCCTACAGGTCACCGCATATCCCAAGTGTCTTCTAGCGTTTATCGAAGTGCATAGAATTACTTCAACTGAAATTGATGTCATTAATTCAGTTCTTTCCTAAGAATTAAAAATTAATAGATGTGATGTTCACTCAAATCACATGGCATTCATTATATTCCATAATTTTGTATACAACTTGTACACATATCGCCAACACTCTACCTGATATCGTAAAAATGATTCCATTTGTGGTTGGAACAGCTGACGGTTCCATGAATTCTTCTGACGTCGTCATCTATACGAAGTTATTACGCCCCAGACATCTAAACTAACTCATATTTTACTCTTCTTGAGTTTCATTAAAATCACTTGCTGCAGATCGGCTTATTATGAGATGCGCCATGCCTTCGACCACCACTCCAAATGTTGGCACACTCGGAGCTGTGGTGGCTGAGCAGCATGGTCCTGGAAGTGTCATGCCAAGTATATGATACCTGTAGTTACGAAAAGGTTCATTTAGGCTCCATATTCATCGAAGAAAATAATGTATTGTATCTATGCAACCTGGCCATGCATCACCACTCTGCAAAATGCGTGGGGCGTTCGAAAAGCTGTTTATAAGTACCGAGCCTCCGTACTTCACCCTTTCAGATTTCTTATTTACATCCTTGCTAAGCACTGGAGATAGGAGAGAGTTTACACGACGCTACGTAACGCAAACGGCGCTCCCCGAGCCTCAAACACTCCTTTCGCACTAACCAATGTTTAAGTCCCTTACCCGGGCTGCGGTATCGGCTACACACATGTGCCCGTTGCTATACATCTAGCACCTGCCTAATCCAGGAAAACAATTTTCAGTGGCTATTCCTCTTGTTTGAATGTTCCAACGTAAATGAAGACAATTTTTATTGAAGCACAGCGAAATTCGACAGCATGAAAGGAAAAGAAAACAAACAGATTTCGACGACAGTTGAAATCAAGAATAGAGAGGAGGTATTTCGGAGAAGAGGCAGCGTGTTGTTCTTCATTGTATTTGTAATGAATCTTCGATGAATTGAACGAATTATGCTAACCGGCAGGCTAAATGATCGATGGATTATTATATATGAGAGAATGATAAGATCAATGGTAGCAGCAGCAGCGGAACGAGCAGCAGCAGCAGTAGCAGCGAACGGCATCAGAATCACCAACAACGACTATGCCTCCTCAACGGCTCTGAAAAATGAAGAAGATACAGAAGAAAACCTTTCCAGGGGAGCAAAACCTAGTCTAGGTTTCTCTATTCTACTTCTTACGTAAGAACTCCGAACCTATTCTTACTTCATAGAAGGCGAAGCGATCAGTAGGCTCTAAAATACGCATAGAATTTCTCAGATTTTCCAGTTTTCTACGCACTACGTTCGTCTCGTTCCCTACGTCTAAGGTTCTAAGATCTTTCAGTTAATAAATAACTTACTCTTTTCCGGTAAGGGGCTTGAGTTCCTGGTT